TTAAGTCATTAACTCATACTCCGAATTGAGTACTTGCACTTTTAATTTCAAGATTGTAGTTGTTTGACTTATTTCTCATTTTAAATTAATGATTATTGACTACATTTATATTTCGAGATGCACTAGTGTATATGAGAAATATTATGAATTTATTACTAAGTATCTTGAAAAAGGAAAATGCTTCAATGCAATGAATGAGTAGACATCATAGGATATTATATGTATATATATATATATATATATATATTCAAAAAAATCTATTTTTAATATTTATAAATAGACCCCTATAACTTTTAATATTTGTAAATACACCCCCATAACTTTTAATATTTATAAATATGGCCCTGTATCCGGTATGGGTGCTACATAGAGGTCAAGTATTCCAAAATTAAGAGGAGCCAGATCAGCAAAATCACGAAATCTCCGCCTCCAGTCTTATTCCACCAATTCAATCCGATACAATAATAACTTGCTTGATTTAAAAAAAAAACGATTGCTATATAAAACCCTAGTTAATTCCCGATCGCCACCATTCTCAATTTCTTAGACCCGCTCCTCCCTCTACGGCTATCAATTTAGCGATTTCAATTACTACCTCCGTCCCCCTAAGTTTGGGACAAGAGAAGGTGGCACGGTTATTAATAAAAGTGTGGTTATGTGGTTGATATTGAATTGATAAAGTAAGAATAAAGTAGGAATGATTTAGAACCACACAAACTTTACCAAATAAGGAATGAGACAATCTTAGTGGGACGGACCGAAATGGTAAAATGGGACAATCATAGCGGGACGGAGGGAGTACTTTCGTAGCGATTCGGAATATGAAAGCTTCGATCAAGTTTCGTGAGGATCAAAAGCCATTGCTTAGAGCCAAGGTCCCTATCAGCATCTTGAGCTTTCCTTTCCAATCTGGAATCGCCGCCGGGGAATCCAAGGAACTCTCTCTAAGCCTCCGTTCTTTCTTTGACGCCGGACCATCTCTTAGGTTCTCTTACCGCCCCAACGATTCTCAGAAGCCGTTTAGTTTTGTTCTGAAAACGGGTATTGGGCACTTCGGATCCCCAAATTCGAGCCCATTCACCATGAGTGCCGAGTTCAACCTGATAGGAACTCAAAGCCCTAGTTTCTTCGTTCACTTCAATCCTCAGTTTGGCGATTTCTGTGTCAAGAAATCACATTCCTCCTCGGATCTTGTGAAGAATTTCAGCCCTGCTTCCAAATCGAATGTCGTCGTCCCCGACGATGTTTTTGTGAATCCTACGACGAAGGTCGGCTATGTGGGGGAGAATGTCAATTTTCTAGACCGAAAAGTTGGGTTTCTGGCCCCCGAGTCTCAGTTAAATGGTACGGTTGAGAGGTTGTTCTCCGGGACAACGGTGACAGCTAGGACAACGCTTCCGTTGAAAAGCCGAGCAGTTGTGGATTTCCGATGGGGACTGAGGTTTCCGCCGGAGTCTGGGGACGCTGACGGTGTTCTGGTGGGTAAGACAGGCCGTACACCCAGCATTTCTTTCAGGAATCTTCCCTTGCTCGTGATGAACAAAATCGTCATCAAGCACGTGGCCAGGGTCGAGTCCAAGAAGGACCCTGCCAGCAATGAGGATGTTACAGCCGTATGCTTGAAGGTGCAGAGGCAGCTAGAGCTTATTCAAGCCGAGAACGGGCTATTGAGGAATGCTCTGAATGATTTCAGAGCAGAAATCAATGATTCCGATGGGAAGGGATCCAAAGTTTGTGCAGGGAAGAAACAATCCGATCTGAGCGGGTTGAAAGAGAAGAAACCCGAAGATGTGAATGTGGAGTTGAAGAAGGCATTAAAAGCTGGCAATGGGAAATAGAAAGTTTTTGATGGCTCAATATCCATTCTTCAAATTTGCTTGGAATATGTGAGAGCCTTATACGCACAGTATTTCTTTAATGCTACCCAAAAACATTGTTTTTGGTATCCATACATTTGGAGTGATTTTTTTTTCCGTTATGAACCTGTCTCAGTGGAGTACTATGTGTATAGTTTTCAATTCTAGCAGTGGCTTCAATAGGCAAATGATTTGCTTCATCAAACCAACTTGCCCGCCTGCACTCATACAAAATATTTCATTTGGGCTTGTACTTTGAACTTTGAACTGTTTGTACACGAGCTGTTTGAAGTGTTTTTAGAGGTGTTAGTAAATGAAATGTTAGGAAGTGCAGACACGTTTAAGGGAGGGAAGGTAAGCGCAATTGAAGTACTTCATCAGTTCCCTCTTAATTGCTAACAGTCAACATTTCACGTTTGACAACGCACAAGTTTGACCAATAATATCTTTCATTCCTTATTAGTAAAAATTTTAAAAAATTCAATATTTTGAAAATTTAGAATGAGAAGAATTTAACAATATTTTTCTTAAAATTTAATTTATAATACATTAATTAATACTCCGTAAAATATAGTCAAAGTAGAATATGTAAATAGTGCAAAAAGTCCAATGTTACAATTAAAAGAGAACAAAGGTAGTATAAAGAAACTGTTTTCACTCTAATTTATAAAAAAATCCTTACACTTTTTAAATTGTATATACATTAGGTAATATTATGTATGTACTATGAAATACGTATTTTTGATTTAGCTAATTTTAATTCTACTGTTTTTCGGGTAAACCAGAAAAACCAGTTAATCTCCAATCTCTAATCTCCAGAAAAGCTAGGAAAAACATTGCGATAGCCCAAAGTTAGGAACACTTCATCTGCACATGTGGACGCTTAGTTTCGATCAGGAAGATGATAGCATTAGGAAGATGAAAACCGCTCTCAGAATGAAACCCTTTTTAAAATGACATTCTAATCTTCATCATGTAGGATTAATTATAAAATGTCAAATGTCCTTTGGATCCTTATAATAAGTTTTTTACTTTGCTGCAAAAAGTGTTTTCTTAGGAATGCTGCAACTAAATTATACTTCCCCCGTCCCAGTAAAATTGACTTATTATGAGTCCGACCCATTAATATTGTAGGACACTTTTTGAAATCCCAATGAGTACACTCTATTCACCTAATCATCCCAAGAAACCGCTCATGGATGTCTTTTGAAGAAGATGATGAAAGAAGATGATGAAGATCCACAAGGTTAAGCGTTATTATGACACTGATTACTGTCTTGCAATATTTACTGGCGGGTAACAATTTGGTGCTCTCCAGTCTCCCCATACATATGTCGAGTGCATCTATCGGTGTTGCAAAGTACGAATCAAAGGAACCCGCACGGACAACTCGGTTGGTTGAATGATGAGAAATTTGATTCAAGGACCAAGGTTCGACTGCCACAGGTATGTGAGCCTACTGCCTCTTCGCTGACCGAGTCACCGTGATTTACATCCTCCCATGTGCCCTGTCGAGTCGGGGCATGGGGGGCTCCAGTGGTGGGAAATTCCACCTCTTTTTGGATCTAGTACGAATCAAAGGAAGTGACATATTTCATCGAAAACGAATGTAAGACCATCTTAAACAGATGAAGAGAGTATTATTTATAATTTTCTTTTTAACCCCAAATCGTCTTATGAGACATATTTTTATCACACATTTTTTATTTTAGGACCCTGAACTTTGTGATAAGCAAAATAAGTAAGAATATAGTTACTTTTTTTACTGCGTTGGGTGAGATTGGTAAATATGATTGTTTTAGTTATTTTTTCACATATATTTTTATTTATTTTATAATCAAATAGATTTTAAATATATTTTTCATAATTGAGTAGATCTAATCAATTCAACCATATTTTAATGTAGTTTAGCCAATTTTAGTGCTACAAAATGTAATCTTAAAGTAGATCTAGTCTTTAATACTTCGCTGCCTCACAAAACTTAACCACAACTGAGTCATTGACTTATACTCCGTATGTGAATAATAAAATAAAAATTATTTATTTGAAATTTGTGAAAAAAGGGAGAAAAAATTTAATGTTAACCATATGGAGTACTACATACTCCATATTTACGGAGTAGTATTTACCAGCACGATAGGAGTGAATTATAGCGAGAGGAGTGGACACCATAGCAGGCTCGATCACATTGTTGTCTTTGTAGGTGTGCTGGAAATTACACACTCTGCATAATTCGTCAGTGCCTTGAATCCGGATTTTGTCTGCCAGCGATGTGTATTGATGACGAGCTTGTCCTCAAGTAGTCAAATCCAATACCAATCATACGAAATCTGTAGTTTAAAAAGTTCAATATATTCCGGTTTTAGGATTAATAAAATCATGTGGTACTGCACCGTTCCAGTCCGGTTTCGGTACATGACAATACCATCCAATGCTAATAAATTTGAGAAGATCGTGTGGCTCACCATCCACCCAAGTATCTTCTAGTGACGACAAGTCTTGGTTCAATATTCATTTAGGGTGTGTTTGAGAGTTTCGAGGATGAGGAGGGGAAGATTTTAAACGTATTTGTTGGAGGGAAAAGTGAGTAAACCTTTATTTGTATTAGGAAATATGGAGTAACAATAATGAATCTGCGATTTTGAAAGAATTATAATTAAAATCATGACGAATTCAAATTATCATTTTCGTTATTTATCCTTCAAAACCCTCTAAATTGGAGGAACTTAAAAATTGAACACCTAAATCATGTGGAAGGTTAGTTTTTTTTTTACCCTGGAAGGCAAACCACCAAAATCAGTGGGGTAAATGCCCGGGAACATTTACCAGACTTTATTGATAATTAAGCAAGTACACGATGTGAGGGGGACCAAGCCAAAACCTCCGTAAAGATAGAAACCTTACAGCAAAAAAAATAAAAATTAATAAAATTAACTAAACACATATGGCACCCCCATAGCATCTAGTCGGAGAACACCTTGAAGCCCAAAGGCTAGAGTCTCACCATGCTCCCAATTGTACTCACCATATAGGCCCATCTTAGCTACCAGCACAGCTGCCCTGTTTGTTTGGTACTTAATCACAAGTCATCCAAAATCATTCCCTCCAATTATTTAAACTCCTTAAAATTAAAAGAAAGATCATAAACCAGAATCCAATTACTTAAACTCCTTAAAATTAAAAGAAAGATCATAAACCAGATCATAAACTCCAGTCAACCTTCCACTCCCCTCCAGAATCCAACTCCCAAACATACTCTTAGGGAAGATCAGGTCACGAGGGAGGTCTTACTCCACATAATTTTTCCATCTTCACCGAGCAGCTTAGCAGTTGAGGAATAAAAAGATGAAGATGGTAATGAATGTGGTGAGTTAGTTTTGTAGGGAGCAGTCTCGAAGGGGAGAATGATGTAAGTTCTCGATTAGTTCTTTGGAGTCAATACCGATGAAATTGGATTATGCCAAGATTATAAAAAAACTACTATAAATCTGTAGTAATAATACCTTGGAGAGTTGGAGTAATAAATTTCCGGGAAAATCAATATCGACATGCTCCCTCTATCCTATTGAAGTTTCTCTACTCTCCCTTTTTATTTGTTTCATAAATTTTACCATTTTTCTTTTAAAATAAAGAAATCAAATGAACAATATACACATTAGAGCAGTTGGAGATCTAGCAGTTGGATTTTGGATATTCAAAACCTATTTTACAAGTAAATTTTAAGTAGTATAGATAACACAAGAAATCAAACCTATTTTGGATAACACATATCTCTATATCTCTAAAAAGTTTGTCATCTTTGATTTTTTACATTAAACTTTAACTGATGATGTACTTATATAGATAATTATTTTAATGTATAAATAATATGTAAATGATCTCTATTAGAAACACAGAAATAAAGTATAAAAGTAATAAAACTTATAAGTTATAGCTATCACAAAAGTAAATAAGTCAAAACTATTGACCAAAATATATCACCGTTGATTCGAAAAGTCAATGAGGATAAATTTTCAAGGGAGATATGAAGTATTAGTATGTTTTATTACGTTATAGTAAATAGAGTGAAATTACGAATAATATACAAATAAAATACAACTACTTATGACATTAATTCTTCATCATCATCATCATTATTCCAACCCCGCAAAGGTTCCCACCACGATGGGGTAAGGGCAGTCGGGTGTACGCAGTCTTACTCATGTACTAAAGCATAGAGCGACTGTTTCCGGATACCCATAGTGAAAATCGTGTATAAAATTGCTTAGATTGATTGTTGATTCCTAACAAAGAAGCGCGGAGGGTTTAGTGAATCATTTTACTTTATTCCATCATATTCTCAAGCCAAAAAATAGTGTGTCATTGGCTCCATTGCAAATGATGGAAAATTATTATGACATTAATTAAATAAAATAAAGTTTTATGGAGTATTTCTTTTTCATCCTTAGCGAGAGCTTATCGCGTAGGGTTTGGTTCTCGCCGTCCTGGTGCAGCACACTTCTATCGACACAACAACGTGTCGGGTTGCTCTGGATGGATGACCGTGGCAGCGAGAAGATGGAGGATGCAGCGGGAGAGCGGCGCAAGGATGATCGAGTCCATGAAGGCAAATTGGTGGATAACAAACCAGGTCTTAAGGCTTTGACAGACATGGTTAGCGTGGTGATTTTGACTGCTAAATTCGATGGCATGGATGTGGGTCATATGGCGGGTACGCTACTGATAGAAGATGTTGGTGCTTCAGAATCCGAAGCCGGGGGAACAACGAGAGAAGGAATCAATCGAGCAACGATCCGACCTCCTCCTGAACCACCGCCAGGGATTGAACGAGGTGCTAGGGTTCAAGACAGTTATTTTGCTTATTTAGTTTTTCTCATGCTTTGTCTTCCTCCGATGAGTTTTTTCCTTTGGATTCTTGTTACTGTCTATGTTGCTAGGTTTGCCAGTTTGTTTGGGTTTTTAGCCTTTTTTGTGTCATTGGGTATGTTTGGATCTATGGGAATAAGGGTGGCTGTGTCAAGCCCGATACATGGTTAGCGATTCGTGTTGCTCTTTCAGTGGTGACCGTCTCCAAGTCTGACCATAGGGTTTACAATTATAGTTGTTGGTGTTTAACTGGTGTCAGGTTTATTTTTCCTTTGATTGATCTAATGATCCTGAAACTAGTTATATCATATGAAAAGAGGTTGTTTCGTTCAAAAACAAAAACTTTGAACACTTTGGAATAACATGGTACCCTCTACTGAATTGAAGTTTAGTAAGAGATCGCGTGAATTAATATACTACGTATGTATTAGCACATTATCTTAAAATTAATTACACGACATACACGTTCTAATTAAAATAGTGTTATCACTTATCTCACTAGTATACATACAAAATCCTTACTATGCAGACCCCTAGTATTATTATTAAAATATAAATGTTCTCACATTTAGTTGATATCAATATGTTCTCACATGTAGGCTACAAAAAATATTTTTTGGGGTTGAATAAGAGTTTTATTTAGAAGATTAAAACATAAAAATCTCAAATATATATCAACTTAGATCGATTCGGTCCAGTGTTACTTAATTTCAAATGTTACAGTTTCATTCGAGATAAAAGTATAGAGTCAACATTTAAAAACTGTTATTCGGTTAAGTACCATTGCATGCCAGTTTGGTACCGATGCAGACATGCAGTTTGGTTTTTAATTTATCCCCACCTAACCCGTAGATTAAACCACTTCTAATTATCTGAGAAAGATTTTCCATCTCTCATGAATTCTCTGTTTTGTTTTCCTCTTTGGGTTATTCCAAAAAAAGTATCATTTCTTAAAGTTATATGAGTAGTCTTCTTGTCAGGCCGGCCTGACGGGAACCTCCGTCCAGCCGAGCCCGTTTGGGCACCTTCCCGGTGGAATTTTTTGATGAAATTTTTTTGAGCATGTTCTTCATCAAGTCTAGTTTATCCATACCCAATTTCAGCAAAAAAAATCAATCGAGAAGACAGTCGAATGATATTTTGAAAAATAATGCGCTGTTTATATATAATAATTGCGCAGTGTTCGTAAATAATTTATTTGACTGTCTTCCCGATTGAATTTTTAGTTGAAATTTGGTATGGATAAACTGGGCTTGATGAATAACATGCTCAAAAAAATCCACCGGGAAGGTCGCCAAAAGGGCTCGGCCGGCTGTTCCGATCAGACCGGCCCGACATGATGATTTCTCTCATTTCTTATATTGACAAGAAAGATGTTGATCATATCATTTCACTTTATTTTATTCAAACTCAATCACAAACTTTTATTTATCAGTCCAATCCAAATTAAGGTACGTACATAAGCACGATGGAGGGAATACTTCTAATTAAGGCTGAATAAAAAATTGAAAAACATAAATAGACCAACAAACCTATCAAAATCCAACCAAAACTGAAATCGCTGAAAATCAACCAAATCATAAGCGATTGAATCACTGTTTGAGGTTAAGCATAAGAAACCGATTGAACCGATTAAAATCGACAAAAATGACTGAGGGTTGGTTTGCAACTGCTTTTAAAAAAGCACTTCTCAGTTTTTGGCTTTAAAAAAGCACTTATTTTCCCAAACACTACAACTTTTATTTTTCTCGGCTTCCGCGTCAAAAGTGCTTTTACTTTTTCTATTACACAAAAAACACTTATTTTACCAAACACTACCCACTTTTACTTTTTAAAATCACTTTTTTCTCAAACACTATCAACTTTTATTTAATCACTTTTCCCCATTTCATTTAAAAAAGCACTTTTTTAAAAGTAGAAGCTGTTGCAAACAGACCCTGAAACATGTCAATCCGATTGAATTTTCTGCTCTATTTTGTTTAAGTATGAAATAGAGTAAAAATGATGAAGAGGAAGAAAGGAAAAAATAATTGAGGGGAAATTGTACAAAAAATGCTTTTCTAATCAAGGGAAAGAATTATTAAAAAAAATTAAGGGAAAGAAAATACATTGACAGAGAGAATGAATAAAATAACAAGATGAAAAGAAGGGGAAAATATAATGTGTCGAGATAGTACTCTAGAAATATTTAGTTTAGAAGACTTTTACATCAACAAATACACTCTAGAATTGTAGTTGAAGGGTTTTATAAAATTGGATATTTAGTTAATATGATGGAGTGATGTAAGTTTGTAAGCTAACAATAATTATTTGTGATACCAGTCCTATTTTCATATTATTCTTTCCATGAGTATCACATTGTTTTTCTATCACCTTCTTAGGTCACCGGTGCATAAATTATGAATGAGCATTATATGTGTGTCTACTACAATTCTTAACCCCAAAGTGTACAGAGATATAATCTTTTGTGGTGTATTCATATTTCTGTTTTTCTATTTGGGTTGATGATATGACTTGCATTTATCTTTTTTAGTAGGAGATGTGTGTTCTCCTTCCACACAACATGGTGGGTCGTGACTTCTTGGAAATTTGGGACCCTTTTAGCTCATTGCAATGAATTGATTCAAATTGAAATCAGATAATTTTAATTTACTCAATGGTAACTAATTATGAAGTAGTTTATTTGTTATACTCGTACTTGATTTCTATCTCAGGCAAATATCTACCAAAATACTTTTTCTTCCTTATTTACTTTGCATTAGTAAAAAGTTAACAAATCTATTATCTTTTTCATGTCTTTTTTTAGTGACCAGCTTTTTACACTGTTTTGTTCATGAATAATTTACACCATAACTATTAACGGAAGTCCAAAAAAGACATGTTCTCTTTGCCTAGCCTCAAGACAGCATTCCTTCACTTATAATTATTTTAGCATTTAGTTATTTATAGTTAAATAATCTTAAAATGAGCACCTATTTGTTGAAATATAGTTAATTAGTTGGAATGATTAATTAGTTAGGTTCTAGACTATAAAATGTTATTTACTTACACTTCAAGGCATTTTGCTCCTATACTTATAACTTATACTTCTATTAGTATTAGTATTCACTATAGTTCTAATTTTCAAACTTTATTGTCATATCTTTATTTCTTTTCATTATTCAATTCTAATTTGTTAATCTTGATTTAGCAACCAACACAAAGACAATTGATGGACCTTTCAAAGAAGGATTGGAGGGGTGGACGTGGAGCTGGGCAATACATAATATCCAACTCAACTGACGCTGCATAGGTGTAACTACTATATGATGAGATTAGTCCAGTCCAATTAATTATGTGTTCTTTACATTGTCATATTTTCTTCCTCCACGTCGATTTTAGATCATATAACTATTCTTTTGTCTATGCTACAAACAATTGTATTTTTGAGGGAGCCATTTAGAGTATTATTCAAAGAAGTGGAAGAGTGGATAGATGATTCATCTTACAACTTATAAATATTTCTTTTCAGTTGTTAAAAGTGTGAGCTGCCTCTGCCATCGAAGTTATTATTGCAAAACTTCATTACCTTTCCTACTTTTTATGAGTCTGCAATTCCAATAGTAGAATGTTATCGTACTCTAAATTTTTAAATTGAAGTGAAATTTTTGAAGTGACCTAAACGTGGACATAATTTATAACATTAACTAAGAAGGTCTAAATGAAAAATGGAAGATATATTTCACACTTATTAATATTTTATATAGTCCATTTTGATTAATAATAATGACCTATGTTAATTATTATCAATAAAAGCCTTGTGTTCATTATTATTAATAAAATACATATGCTCATTTTTATTAATAACATAATGTGTATTTCTAATCTATTATAGAACTTTTAAGTTTCCTTATTTCTTAATATGTGACTTTTACTATTGTTGGTTTGTTTTTGTATGATATTTACATTTATAAGCTATTTTGACACGTTATTCATTATGGATCATTCGGAAATAGTTTACTGTGTATTTTAGTACAGAGGTAAGGTTGCGCATATGTGACCTCCGTTACCCCATTGTAGGTGATGTAAAAACTAACATTACACCAAATTGATGGAAAATAATGTGTCGAGATAATAGAAAACAAAAGGAGAAAACTTTTAGTAAGGAAAAGGAAAAAAATAATGTGGAGTTGTTTTGAGAAGATCCATGAAAAGATGAATTATTTATGTAATGTTTACAAAGATAAATTACGATGGATTATTTAGTATGTCATCAATCTATCAGGGACTAACGGATAAAATTGGAGTGCAAAAGTGTGATTATTCTTAGATTATGTAAAAGTTGGATTATTTTGAGAAATTGGTAAAATGTAGGATTATTATTGTCAAATTTTCCAATTTATTATACCTCTATTTTAAATGTAATACTTCCTTGTTTTGTATATGGCTCCACATATCTGAACTTCCGGAGAACTACTTAATTTGTTTCTACAAAATTTTTTGCAATACCGATTGATATTTTACAAATGGTTGAATTGAAGTATTGATTGAGCTATAAAAGTACAACATGGTGTACACATTCACTTACATTGTGTTTACACATTTCAGAAACATATGATTTGATACAACTAATGTCTTGCTATAAACATTCTCATGTTTGTCCTATATATGGCTTAATCGGACAAATATGGTACCAAACTGAAAAATAGGATTTCAAACATATCCTTAAAATTTATATCGGAACCGAATAGTACAGGTTCCAACCCAGTACTGTGGCAGTACATGATCAATTTTCACCAAATGAGAACCAATACAAGACCAGACTGAAGTGTAGGTTCACTAGTTTATCTATACATAATACATTTTCCCTAAGTTCATTATACCAGTATACATTTTTCTTAGCTAGTTTATTGTTCGTAAGTTCGTTGCTAGTTCATAAAAGTAGTCTAAGGGGTGTTTGGATCTGATTCTTAAAACTACTCCTGCTCCTTCAAAAGTTGGAGTGTTTGGGTGAAAATGCAAAAAGTGATTCCGGTAATCTAATTTACTCCTAGAATCAGTTTTTTTAGAAGCTCGAAAGACCAACTTCTGAAAACTGATTCTGATTCTACTTCTGCGTAAAAAAAGAAGCAGGAGCAGTTCCAAACACCCCTAAGTCCGTAATCACCAGATACTCATTTATTTCCATCATTCCATGATTGATTGACAAAAAAATATCGTATCCCCACGCAATTCTGGTAAAAGGCTACCATGATCAAATGGAGTGTGACGTCAAACATATACTTCTCCATACTAATGTTATTAAGTACGTAAAAAACTAAACAACTATATTAACTTTGATTTTTATGTAACACTATCAAAGTATAAAGAGAATAGTATGCTAATTTTATCGACTGCAGGCC